CTACTAAGACCCGATGTAATGTGATTTTTGAAGCTGATTGCTTGAATGCCATACTTTTCATCACTGATCAATCATCCACCAGCTTTTGGTCCGTCTCAGTTTATATTGAAGAAATCAATAAGTATTGGGCACTTTAGCCTAAATGGAAGTTCAAGTTTTATCCAAGAAGTGCTAATTTTGCGGCCCATCATCTCGCTACATGGGCTTTTTCACGTGCATTGATTGGTTTTATTGATGTCAATTCTATCCCTTTAGGCACCGTTTGGTTGACAAGATAAGATTAGCCAAGATAAGATTAAATAATCTAATGAGACCCAATTATTTTATTGGAGCTTGAAACGTCCAACAAAAAAAAAACTCATTAGAAGACAAGATAAGCCAAGATAATGCAAAATAAGCCATGATTATATAATTTTGGTGGGTCGACCCGGCAATTTATTGAGGATACCAAACATCAAATTAAGTCAAACTATTTAGTTAATCATGGCTTATCTTGGCAACCAAACGGGGCCTTAGTGTGTTTTTGTGACGGGTTACTGATTGTAGACTCTTTCCATTCGTATTATTAATTTGAAATTTCAATTATAAAAAAAAATAGAGAAATTTAAATGACAAAAAAAAGGGGGTTTTTGTGCACAAGTCCCTAACCAAACATATTTATTATTCTAGGTTTAAGGGCTATATCTCTTTCATCAATAAGCCCTTCCCTTTAATATTTATTATAAATAAATGAAACATTCATGTATATGACAATATTACCCCCAACCCTTTATACCCAATTCTTAATTTTAACCCCAATTTAATCAATTTGTCCACAAAATCCATTTTGACCACAAAAATCCAATTTTGACTTTTTTTTGGGGCATACTTTAATATGCTCCAATTTCATCCTTAACTTAATTTGGCCGGGTCTGACTGGGAGGAGATGGGGTTCTCGCTGAGTCGCGGAGAACTGCGCAGCATGAAGGAATGGGTGGTGGCTGCTGCGGCTAATGCATTGAAATGCGAGGAGCGGTTGGGTGTGGAGAAAGTGAAAATTGGAGTGGAGAAAGCAGGGAGGTGTATTGTGAATAGTATTGGGTTGATTGAGGGGAGGCAGACAATTGTCATTGATTTTTACAATCCTTTTGGTGTTGATGAGTTTTATGGGTATTATTATTATTATAATTATCGAGACTTTGTGATATACCTAATTGAGCCGACCTAATGGGCTTCCTAATTTGTCTTATAATTGGGCCCACTATACAAAAGTTCAGTCACCTTCAAAATAAGGCTTGAGCCCAATTAAGTAAACTCAACCCAAACGACATATAAATAGAGGTTTTTACTCATTTGTTAAGGTACGTTCTATTTATTCACGAGTAAGCTAGAATTTTATCTCTCTACCATTTTCCACGATTTGTACATCTGACTTGAGCGTCAGATGGGTTTCCGCCGGATCAACCCCCGGCTTAGTTCACGTGTGCTCATTTCGCAAGGACCTCAGGATCATCAAGTTGTCAAGCTACTGATCCGCTTTGCTCTCCCAGCTCGTTTTCTACACTACCCCAGGTGATCTAAGTAATTAACATCATCATTTTGGCGCCGTCTGTAGGAAAGATGCAAACCAGATCACGTAGCCAACAAGATCCTCCTGAGGCATCCGCTCGGAGAGAGAATGACACAGCTAACAACCTCCCAATCCGTGGAGGCTCTGGCTTGCCACCTCCTCCGCGTGCTCCGGATTCGCCTCGCGAGGTTCATGTGATCCCCCCTCGGGACCTATCACTACGGGATAAATTGAGTTATTCACGGAGTAACGTAATAATACTGTCTATTATTGTAATATTATTGTAAACACAATAATATTACTGTGGTTGACAATAATATTACTATTGTTATAGATTGCTGTCAACCACATCAATATTATTATTTGTTTGGATTTTTTTTTTTGTTTGAGTTATTCACGGAGTAACGTAATAATATTACTGTCTATTATTGTAATATTACTGTGGTTGACGGTAATATTACTGTTGTTATAGTAATTTTACTGTCACTCACAGTAATATTAATTCTTTTGGCTTTTTATTATGTTTACATTTGTTGAACGGTCAACATAGTAATATTACTCTATTACACAATAATAATGAGTTTTGTTGTGTTAATATTACTGTGCTAGAGATTAATATAGCAATATTATTGTGTTAAACTGTAGTATAGTTAATTTTATAGTGTTTAACAATAATATAGTTAATATTACTGTCAATCGCAGCAATATTGTTGTTTAAACGAAAAAAAAATGTTACAGAAAGAGAGAAAAAAATTGAAAAAGTCAACGTCGGAAACCGGTGGTTGAAAAATCAGGAGGAAAGTCAATGTTGGAGACCGGCGAAAAAATCCGCAAGGAAAAAAAAAAAAAGTCAATGGCGGTAACGGACGAATTTGTCCATAAAAAATGTGTTTTTGGTCAAAATTGAATAATTTGTGAAATTTGGGATCAAATTGAGGTTAATTTAAATTAAGGATGAAATTGGAGCATATTAAAGTATGAGGGGCTATTTTAGTCTTTTACAAAAATTTGGACCAGGTATGGACTTATTTGGAAAGGAGTTTATTGTGTGTATTTTTTATGAATAAATTTCATTTCTAGACTAACTTGTAAAGAAAAAAAAATAGTGAAAGGAGAAGGTGGGATCCGTAATCTTATCGGAAGAATTCGACCAAGTCGTTGAGCTTGATTTCTGAAATTATCCGACTTTCACCTTTAATTTCAAGTTCCCATCTGAATTTCTGGAATTATCCCTTTGAACAAGGAAGAAGTAGAGTTCCAATGGGAAGCCTAATTCGCAATATCCCGACCCTAATCTTCATCCGTAAATTTGCAAAGATTGAGTTGCCAACCAGCCGCCGCCATTGGAGAAATGGCGTTAGGTTTTCCAAACTCCGTACAATTTTTTCTTACTCGGCGAGCAGCGGCAGCGGCAGCGGCAGCGGCAGCGGTGAAGATTCCGTTCAAGAACTCACGGTTCCTACCCATTGGTTACAGCCTTCCAGAGCATCACAGGTAATTCATTTTTTTGTTTTTTTTTGTTCTTAAACTCAAATGAAATATATGTTAGCAAGTAACTGAATATATTTGTTTAGGGGAACATCAGAGATGATTGAAGTTTAACCCAACAAAATATGAAGCAGAGTGATGGAAGTATGTTCTTATCAGAAAACACTTTTACGATTTTTAAATATAAAAAAATTCTAATATTAGATACAAATTTATTTTCTAAAAGATACGAAAAAAAAAATGTGTATTTTTTATGTCAATTCATAATTGTAACAAATTCAAATCAATAAAAAAAATTAATTATCCAAATTTAAATAAGAAAAAAAAAATGAATAGTTACGAAATTTTAGTAAAAGATTTCACTTTAACCAACAAAATCAATTAATCATCTGCCGTTGAAAAAAACAATCACATATAAATAAGTATGGATGAAATATAATCTTTTATTTTATCTCTAAAAAAACGAGACATATAAATGAACTGTAGTTGTATGTATATGAAATTCATAAGAGTCCTAGTAGTATTAAAGTATGTTAAACTTGTTAGAGTCTTAGTAATACTAAAGTATCTTGAACTAGTTAGACTCTTTAATAAGTATATAAGTTAATTTTAATTTGCATGAAAATCGTTTTTTCTCTTCTTCTCTTTGGAGAAAAAAAAAATCCAAAGAAAAGAAGAAGAAAAAAACGCAGGAAGATTGAATGGAGCGGATGGGCAGCGGTGTGGTTTCTTGGTTGATGAGAATCGGAGAATCGAAACCCGGTTCTGCTCAGGATCCCGTTGATAACTTGGCTATGTTTATCATTCTCATATGTGCTTGTATTATTACCGGTCATCAACTCAAAGGATTTCGATGGATTAACGAGCCTATTATTGCTATTTTTTTCGTGAGTTCCGATGCTTGCTTATTTTTTTGTTTTCTTTTAGTGGTTTAAATAATGATATTTTGCGTTTTATAATTGATTATTAGCATTGATGGATGATATTTTAGGGTTTGGGTACTGGAATTACTCTACTGGTGCTTACGGGTGGAAAGAGCTCGAAGATACTTGTATTCGATGTAGAGCTCTTTTTTACATATTTCTTGCCCCCTATTATATTTAATGCTGGGTGAGTTACGTTATACTATGTATGTAGATGTTATAATTCTTGTGAAATTTGAATGTGATAATTATATTGTACTTTCGACTGAAGGTTGCAGGTGAAGAAGGAGCATTTTTTCAAGAACCTCATGAATATTATGTTGTTTGGCGCTTTTGGGACACTCATATCTTTCTTCATCACATCATTTGGTATTACTTCTTTCTATATATGCACATATAATGTAAATCTTACGAAATCCTCTATCGAACAATGGATAAATCATATATATATTGTTTAGAAATCAAAGTTGTAAGGAATTTTATTTTCATCGATTGTAAAATTTGATCACATGTCAGTTTACGAACGCATCCGTAAAGCTTTGATGGTTGAGGAGTGGTTGTGTTTGCATGATTTCCTACTTATAACTTATTTCTGTGCACCTGTCGTCTATATATTATATATTTTATGGTTTGTGATTTCGCATAGCACTAACTATTTAACTTTTTCAGGTTCGAAACTTTTTTTCGAGACATTGGGAATAGGCAATTTTGAGCTTAAAGATTATCTTGGTAACTTCATCCTCTTCACTACATATTCATCTTGTATATGATATTTCATCGTATATGCATGCATTTATCTTGTAATTAATTCTTTGTTAGTCGATAATTTCATATTACGTTTCCAACTTGAGCCTGCCTTGGTTTTTTATGCAGCAATTGGAGCCATCTTTTCAGCTACGGATTCCATATGCACCTTGCAGGTCTGTATAAATTTGTAACCATTTTGTTTTTCTCTAAAAAACTCCAAACGAAAAAGGTGGCACCCATACTAACTCGGTAACTGATTTAATTATTTTGGGCATGCAGGTTCTTAATCAGGACGAGTTGCCGTTACTGTACAGTCTAGTTTTTGGGGAAGGAGTGGTGAATGATGCGACATCTGTTGTCCTCTTTAACGCAATTCAGAAGTTCGACCTCTCCCATATTAACGCTATGATTGTCTTCAAGTTCATTCGACATTTCTTTTACTTATTTACAGCCAGCACTCTGTTGGGCGTTGCCGTGAGTTTTAACTTAACCTCTCTCTCTAGATCTCTCTCTCTTAAACAGTTGTATATGGCATTTTCAGTTATTCCAAATATTTGCTTGCACAGCACATTGTCTAATAATATATTTGGTTTCTAATTGTGAAAAATCAAAATGCAGATTGGATTGCTTAGTGCCTACATTATTAAAAAGTTGAACTTTGGAAGGTATATATATATATATATATATATATGCAAGTTTTGGATTGCTTTGATTTTGTTATTCGACACGGTTATGGTATCAGTACATTACTAACATCTGAAATTAATTTCCAGAGATTCAGCTTATCACGAGTTGGCTCTCATGATTCTCATGGCTTACCTTTCTTATATTTTGGCCGAGGTCCGTTTTCCTTTTACCTCTTCGCTCAATTTCTATTTTATATTACTTCTTTTTTATCATTATCATGGCTTACCCTTATATATATATATATATATTGCAGCTCTTCGAGTTCAGCGGAATTCTCACAGTGTTCATTTGTGGAATTGTTATGTCACACTACACATTGTATAATGTGAATACACTTTCTAGAGTTACCGCCATGTAAGTATTCAATTTCAAAAAAATCCCAAATAAAATTTTGGTAGTTTATTTATTTATTATTTATTTTTAACAGGCATGCTTTTGCAACGATGTCGGTTATTGCCGAAAGATTTATCTACCTCTATCTGGGTATGGATGCATTAGACATTGAAAAATGGAAAGCTGTGAGCAAAAGGTAAAACAAGTTGTAAACTTGCTCTATTAATCTTACTTTCACTTCAAACATTGAAAAAACATATTTAATTTGTAAAATTTCCGTTTGTCGATTTACTTTTCTAGCCCTGGAAGCTCTGTTGGAACAAGTACAATGATGCTAAGCCTAGTTATGCTCGGGAGAGCATCATTCGTTTTCCCTTTATCCTTTTTGTCCAACTTACTAACCAAGTCTGAGCGTGACAAACTCAGCCTCAAGCAACAGGTTAACTTTTCAAGACTATTATTATTATTCTCTCTTTTTCTTTCGTTCGGTTGCAATAAATGTTGAACAATTATTATGACTATCGTACAGTTCGTAATTTTCTGGTCTGGTCTAATGCGAGGTGCTGTTCCCATGGCTCTGTCTTATAATCAGGTATAATAAGAGAAGTACAGTAGAGAACCTTCTTCGTCCCGACTTGAACGCAACATCCTAATTAAACATATAAATTTCGTTAAATTAATAGAATTTGGTTGGTCCCGATTTTGTTTTTTGAATCGGTTGAACCTAACCACATTGTACATTAGATTTCATGTTTCTTACATTGAACAATTATTTGCAGTTTGGAAAATCTGGCGACGATAATAAGCAGCAAGCGAATGCAATCATGATTACATGCACAATCACTGTAGTCATGTTCAGTACAGTGGTAAGAACATATGTATTATTGTCATGTCTATATATAAAAAGACATTGATTTGAGTAATTTGTATCAACGGTTGGTTTATTGTTCAGGTTTTTGGATCGTTAACGACGTATCTTATAAGGCTTGTGCTCCCTCCATCAGACTTTGAAAACAATACACATTCTTCGGAACCTCGTAGCCCTTCAAGCTCTACAATTGATATACTGCCCTTTCTCAGCAATTATACTATACAAGATTTGGAAGAAGACGATCGGATAAGCTCTAGAAAAATTTCGCGTTTAGTCTTGTTTCTAAGCTCCCCATACAACTCGGTCCATTATTACTGGAGAAAATTCGACAATGCATTTATGCGCCGTGTGTTTGGTGGCAGGGGATTTACTGTGCACCTTACTAGCTCACCTGAAGAAACATTGGAACATTCACTATTAGTTTAGATATATTTTCAAGTGCTTTTGTTCCTTTTTTTCGTTTAGTATAGTGCGTGTATAGGATGCCACGTGTACATACGACTTTTTAGTTTTTAACCATGTATTCCGGGCCGGTCCTGAAAACTTTGGGCCCTAGGTGCTTTCAATGATATCCTGAAATTGGGGCTCCTTTTATATTTTCTTCTATGCAAAAAAATAATTTTTTTCTTAAATAGTAATTAAGAAATTTACATACTCTTCTAATTAACATACAACAAAGACAAATATAAGTGTTTTGATCTAAGGTGTTTAGTCAATAACAACATATATACGATTATGAAGGTGAACGCTAGCTTTTTTCAGACATCCGATTAATATAAAATATAGCAGCATATATGATATATCCTATCACTTGGTGGTAATTGGCATACCTCATGTCGTATTCTCGGGATAATTATAGTTTCAGTCCCCAAAAGTTGGCAGAATTTTCACTTTGGGTTCCCCATTTACGTGTGTCAAAATTTTCACTTTTGGTTCCCCATTTACGTGTGTCAATAAAATGTGCTGTCTTGTTGCCACATTTTAACTTAATGAGTCAATTTACTATATTATCGTCTAATGCATAATATTAAAAAAAATACTAAATCAATATTATTGCGTTACTCGGTAATTTTACTTCGTTACCCAATAATATTACTGACTTACTGTATTAACCGGTTAACACATGAAAAAATGATTTTTTTTTAATATTATTGTATTAGATAATAATATTAATGTGTTGATCACTCAACCAAAAAATAAATTAAATAAAGTCAACGCAGAAAAAATAAGTAACGTCAACCCCGATCAACACTGGAAAAGAAATTTCTAAAAAAAATTCAAAACACTGGTCAACAATGGAATCGATAAAAATTGGGTTAGAAATCATTGGTGAAATTATGGTTAAATTGGGGTTTGAAATCATAATTGTGTTTGTTTAAAGGGTTGCGGTAATTTTGTCATAAATATTTTTAGATAAGAAATTTATTAGCAATTCCAAATAATATAGGGGTCAATTTACAATTTGCTGAAAGAAAAACCTCAAATTCAACCATAATTTTACTGTTGACGGCCAAATTAAAATGTGGCAACATGTACATGAGAGTGTATTTTGTTGATGACGGTAATAGGGGACTAAAGGTTAACTGTAATTATCCCTCGAACGAACTCTCTTATAATAACAACTACTCATCCACCATTGACATGGCACCTACAAAGCCTTTTACAGGAGAAACTGCTTATTCTCGATTCATTGGGGTGCAAATTATGGAGTACGAAAGTTGTTGGGTCCGGATTTGGTTCAACACACTGTTGATGTAATTTAACAAGTTCGAGAAAATATGAAAACGGCTTAAGACCGTCAACAAGGAGACTAGATCTAGAGTTTGCCATAGGAGAATCATGTATTTTTAAAAGACGTCCGGCTCAAAGAAGTCATTAATTTGGTCAAGAGACTGTGATTTGTAATTCTAACAATGTATTATATTTCTTTCATTCAAGTTGTTTCCACTGAGTTTTTTCTTGGCAAGTTTTTACGAGCAGTGTCACGTTTTCAAGCTTCACATATACACTCTTTATTTTGTCCAATGAAGTTTTACTAATAAGAATTTTTTAACTGAGGTTTATTCTATAGTTTGAACATCAAATGAGGAATGTTACAAAATATATGTGATTTTTTATATATCAATTGGTGCTATAGATAGAGCACCCATTCTCTCTTTAGATTACTTTGATCTTGATATCTACTTGTCTTGTAATGTGATTTTTGAAGCTGATTGCTTGAATGCCATACTTTTCATCACTGATCAATCATCCACCAGCTTTTGGTCTGTCTCAGTTTATATTGAAGAAACAATAAGTATTGGGCACTTTAGCCTAAATGGAAGTTCAAATTTTATCCAAGAAGTGCTAATTTTGCGGCCCATCATCTCGCTACATGGGCTTTTTCACGTGCATGGATTGGTTTTATTGATGTCAATTCTATCCATTTAGGCCCCGTTTGGTTGACAAGATAAGATTAATTAAGATAAGATTAAATAACTTAATGAGACCCAATTATTTTATTAGAGCTTGAAATGTCCAACAAAAAAAACTCATTAGAAGACAAGATAAGCCAAGATAAGGCAAAATAAGCCATGATTATATAATTTTGGTGGGTCGACCCGGCAATTTATTGAGGATACCAAACATCAAATTAAATCCAACTATTTAGTTAATCATGGCTTATCTTGGCAACCAAACGGGGCCTTAGTGTGTTTTTGTGACGGGTTACTGATTGTAGACTCTTTTCATTCGTATTATTAATTTTAGATTTCAATTATAAAAAAAAAAATAGAGCAATTTAAATGACAAAAAAAGAGGGTTTTTGTGCATAAGTCCCTAACAAAATATTTTTATGAGGAAAGTACAGTTTGCACCCCTGAACTATAGGGCTTTTCACAAACACCCCCTTGAACTACGAAACGTAACAAAACAACCCTTAACGTTTTCAGTCAACCGTCAAAAAATTAACACCGTTATTATATGTGTGCATTTACCCTTTTGTCCTTAAAATATGTTAGCATTATTGGATTGTATCTTTGAGTACAACCATGATAAGCACACTTTCTTCCAAAATCAAAGCTTGAGCAGAATGACCTATGGCCACCACAAGAATCCCGTCGGCATCCTCTCTCTTCGCCTCCACCGCACCCACTTCTATGTGAATCTTTTCTTTGATGGTCCCAACGTCAAGCAGAAACCGTGGAATACCTCTCTTGTTCCCTTTGCCATGACTATCGCCTCAATTTCAATCCCCCGCCCAAAACTACCGGAGCTCCCCTCCAACGCCTTCCCCCTCCACCAAGGTTTCATCCCCGCCGCTGGTCGGCAACACCAAAAAAACACAATCAATTTCAGAAAGCAGGAGCACAACCAACAGCAATCTAAAAAAGACCCACTCAGAGGTCGACTTACCTTCAAAAAGCAGTTCACCACTCTTCCTCCGCTACTTTCCCTTGAGAATAAGCGGAGGCTCTCCCTTGAAAATAAGCCGCCGCTGACGGATAATCAGGCACTCGGCACAGTCACCTCGTCGCAAGCCAATATGATGCGCGTGGTCGTGAATTCGGATTTGGAGATTGAGAATTCTGGAGTGGAACTGCTTTGTGTGGTGAAGGCTGTGTTGAAGAAAGTTAAGATGCGAGTATTTGTAGGGGAACTACAATTTGGGGGTTTTTTGATGGAACTTTTCGTCGGGTAAATTGCACATCCAAATTGTAGGATTGAAAAGATAATGTGTTCTTCTATTCTTTAATTTATGTAAGCATTTTTTTTTTTAATTAAGGAGAGTTTAATGGTTGTGGTGAGAAGAAATAGTTTGCAGACTCTGTTTTCTACAGAGTGTCGAGAGAGAGAGAGAGCACCATCTGCATATATATATGTTCCCTTTTTTTTTTTTTTCTTTTTTCTTTTTTCTTACTTTTTTTTAAATAATTTGTTGATTTTTTTTATGGTATTTTGATATTTAAAAATGAAAATATTATTTACCAATTAGTAATATATATTGAGGGGTAAAAACGACAAATAATAAGAAAAGCAATTATAATTGAGAAAGTCAACATGCCACATCATCATCAACTAACATAAACGGAGGGGTCATTTTGTTACGTTTCATAGTTCGAGGGGGTGTTTGTGACAAGCCCTATAGTTCAGGGGTGCAAACTGTAGTTTCCCCTATTTTTATTATTATAGGTTTAGAGGCTATATCTCTTTCAATAAGCCCATCCCTTTAATATTTATTAGGGTTTTATACAAAAACACCCCTGTACTATGGACTTTGTATCATATACCCCCATGTACTAGTCATAAATACAAAAACCCCCCTCACATTACATTTTTTTCAAAATATGACGAGGAAACCCCTACTAAAGCAAATATATATATATATATATATATATATATATATATATATATATATAGTTTGAGCCATTTTCCACTATATTACGTGGAAAATTTTGGTACTTATATTTTTTTTTCTCCAAAATATCTAATTCTTAGATTTTTTTAATTTTCTCAATAAAACATTCTATTTTTGTTATTTTGAGTTTCTTCATTTTTTTTCTTAAATTTTTTTCGGTAGTTCAAACATCCTAAGAGTACAAACATCTTTACAATCATATTATTGTTGAGAATTTGAACTAGCGGAAGACATTAAAGAAGAAAAAAAAGAAGAAATTCAAAATGCCATAAATAAAAGGTTTTGTTCAGAAAAAAAAATCTAAATAATAAATGTTTTGAAGAAAAAAATAAAAATATCAAAATTTTCCAAGTAAAATTGATCAAAAATGTCAAAAAAATATAATGGAAAATGGATCAAACAAACCTTATATTTATTGGCTTAGTAGGGGTATTTTCGTCAGATTTTGGAAAAAAATATAACAGTAGGGGGGTTTTTGTATTTATGTGTAGTACATGGGGGTAAATGATACAAAGTGCATAGTACAGGGGCGTGTTTGTATTTAACCCTATTTATTATAAATAAAGGAAACATTCATCTATATGACAATATTACCTCCAATCCTTTATGCCCAATTCTTAATTTTAACCCCAATTTAATCAATTTGTCCACAAAAAATCCAATTTTGACCACAAAAATCCAATTTTGATATTGTCAATGATAGTTAATTAACGTAATTGTACTGACGCTGACAATACATTTATGTAATTGTTCTGCCGTTGACAATAAATTAATGTAATATTATTATTTTTTATTTTTTGTTATTTTTTTATTTTGTTTTATTTGTTGACAAGTCAACGTAATTATATTACCGTCGTTGACAGTAAAATAACTGCGAACACAATAATATTACTGTCAACAACATCAATATTATTATTTTTTTTGGGATTTTTGTTTTGTTTGAGTTATTCACGGAGTAATGTAATAATACTGTCTATTATTGTAATATTAGTGTAAACACAATAATATTACTGTGGTTGACAGTAATATTACTATTGTTATAGATTGTTGTCAACCACATCAATATTATTACTTTGTTTGGATTTTTTTGTTTGTTTGAGTTATTCACGGAGTAACGTAATAATATTACTGTATATTATTGTAATATTACTGTGGTTGACGTTAATATTACTGTTGTTATAGTAATTTTACTGTCACTCACAGTAATATTAATTCTTTTGGCTTTTTATTATGTTT